GTTTCATTAATTTGCCTTCCAAGGTACTTCTTAGAAGTTGTCAAATTTATTTCAAAACAGATTTTTGTAATATGGTTTCTATATCCTTTTAAATTCTGTAAAATCTGTGGTAATGTCTCCTAGGTCTTGATATTGTAATTTTAAAAATGTATAATTGATATTGTGTAATAGGAAGAAAAGGTCTAAAGGAGCAGAAGTGGGAGGCGTAGGGGAAAGGAAAGAAGGGAAAAGAAAAAATATGAGAAAAGGAAAAAAATGGAAACAATGTCTTTGCAAATAGGGAAGGGTGGAGGGGATGAAGGGAGGGCAGAGGAATGGGGAAAAAAATAAGAACCAAGATACTCATGTAATGGTACAGGATCCCAATGATGAATGTAACTGTATTTTATACCGAAAATGTACCAATAAACTTAATGGGAAAAAAATAAAATCTATCAGGCCCGTGTTTTATGAGTGTGTTCTATTAAATCTTCAATGAAAAGATAATTGTTTGAATAATTTAAATATTTCAGAGGGAAAAATTATAATGCTTTCAAAAATCATTCTAGATTCACATAGCCTTGTACCAAAGCTGAATGTGAACATCATCTCTTTGAAAGGAACAGAAGATAATTTATTAATACAAGTAAATGAAAACACACCCTAACATTAATAAATGATTCTAATCCACCAAAAAAAATACACAGACCAAATAGATTTCATTTTGAGAAATATAACATACTATAATTGAAGATAGCATTTCACTGAACAGAAGTTGTTTTCAGAATTGGTGTTGAGATATTTGGCTTTTCATCTTTGCAAAGCCTTACCTGTGCACAAATATAATTACCAAATGAACTGACTCTAAAAGACACCAAAGCTGTAAGTTCCTAGAATATTTAAGGAAGGATTCTTGTTCTGGTTCGGAAGTCTTTCTAAGCAAGATGAGAAATCTAGAAGCCATGAAAAACAAGACTTGCGGATTTGGCTACAAAACTCTGCTCTGCCAGGGAAACTATGAACAGTATTCAGTCATTTATGGAAACATTTCTGTAAGGGACACTATGGAAACATTAAGTGGCAAGGGGGCATTACCAAAAATATTTATGCTTTCAAAAGATAGTAAAATTGATAGCTCTCCAGTGAGTTTGGTGAATCAAAAGCGGGGGAGGGGGCACAGATAAACAAGATCAGAATGCAAAAAAGGTATGGAACAGTTTCAGAGATAAAGAATTCTAAGGCAACACTATTTATAACTTTGTGCCTGTATATTTGGAAATGTAAAGGGAATGGACAAATTCTCTAGGAAAATATAAATTACTAAATTGACTCAAGAAAAAGGATTTTTTTGGGTAGGACAAGTAGAAACATTGTGTGCACGTATACTAGATAAAAATGCAGGTTACCTTTGGGAAACCTGGGACAAGGCTAGGAGGGGCTGGGGGAAGAAACCTCTTCCATAGGAGTGAGGTGCACTTCGAATTAGTATACCACAAAACTGGTTTCGTTTTGTAAAAAGGCAGAAAAAAATCATTGATGAAGTGCTCCCCAGGAAGCCCTGGGGATTGCGAAGAGGTGGGCCAAGGAGGAGGGGAATGACATTCAGAAGAGGCCCAGGGAAACCTGCACCAATAATCAGACCGACCCTAAGTTTCGAGGACCTCCCCTCGCCCCTCTTCTTCCCCTCCTTCCCACACTGGGACCCTGTCCTAAGATCCCAGGGCCAGTGCCACCGGAGGAACAAGACCCAAGCTCCAGATCCTGGCCTGAGGGACCTGCGGGGCCTGTCTTGGGGACCATCCCCTCCCCTCTCCGGACGAATCCTGCGGCACCGCCCCTCAGGCGCCCACACCCGCGCCCGCGCCCGCTCGGGCTGGAGACGTGGGCGCCGCGGGCCGCAGCGGGCACCTCAGGAGAACGTGGGCCGCGGCGCAGCTGGGAGCGAGAATCTAATTTCTTTCATGCTTCTTTCTAAATAAAATAAAATAAATAATAAGGGGGAAAATTCCCCAGTTCCCACTGCAACTTGGAGGAGCAGGGAGGATTGGAAAGGACTGACGCAGAGGCTTCGTTTATGGATATTGAAGAAGTTCAGAGCAAGCCCTTGGCAGGACCAGCCCGGAGGACCCATGCGCGCGCGCGGAGGTGCGGAGCGCCCCCTGACCCAGCTCGGAGGTAATGAGGCCCCGGTGGCCGGGATCCGGGCGGCCCCGCGTGGGAAGCGGCCCCTCTAGGTAAGAGCACCCCGGGTCTGCGCGGGCACCCGGGGGGCATCTGGCTCCGGAGATGCAGGTCCAGTGCCAGGCAGGCAGGAGGCGGGAGGGGGAGAGCCGCTGTATCACAGGAAGCGGTGGGAGGGGGACGAAGGCAAGGCGATTGAAACGTTTTTATTTTTGTGTTGACGCGTGGGGATGAGCACGGAAGCACCTGGGTTTCTGTAGGAAATGATTGCAGAGAAGGGCTGAGTGACAGGCGGCTGGGTTTTTGCAGGAACTAAAGTGGGATCAGTCAGATTTTTGCAGAAATCCGGAGGAGTGGGCACCAAGAGGTTATGATCCTGAGAATTTGCACAAGATTGTAGAGTGTGCATCTGAGCATTTCTGAGAAGTGGTAAGAGAACTTACCGCCAGGCTGCGCGCCTGACCCCCTCTCAGAGCTGCGAGACCCCGGCCTGGTGCCGCAGCCGCGTCAGCACCGCGGATAGCGCCCGGCAGGGCCGCGGTTTGAGGTGGCACCTGAGAGGATGAGCTCTCATGGCAGAGCAAAGGTGGGGTTCAGCTTTTGATCTGCTTCTAACTGCTTCCGTGACTGCAGAAGGAAGAGGCGGAGTATAACGATCGATATCTCCCCCGCTCCTGCGAATGCCGCCACTGAACCGTGTGGCCTCCTGGGTTTTGGAAGATGTATCCAAACTTGCTCAACCATCTAGCATTCATTCATAAAGCGCTTACCATGTGCCAGGGCCCTGTGCTAAACGCTCCACGGAGATTGCTTAATTCTTATAGTACACTCATAGTTTGTGTACTATTCTTATCCCCATTTCGCAGATGAGGAAACTGGAACAAGAGAGTCTGGGAAACTTGCCCATGTCTATACAGCCAGCATACGTTATGGCTGCTGCGGGGGAGGATGTGCCTGAGATAGCTTCCCTCTGTGGAATAGCTCTGAGCTTGAAATCAAAGCTGTGCTCTTGGGTAAAATTGTTAACTGTGTCTGAGTTCCAGGCTCTAGAGCTGTAAAATCGGGATTGTAATGCTTTCCTTGCAGCAGCGTGGGGGAGGCTGGTCAAGAGGTGGAGGGGTGAGGGTTGCCATGGAGGGCTGGAAGGGAGGTGGCAGCAACCGGAAGGCAAAGGGACTGGCCCTGCACGAGGCAGCACCTTGCAAGGGACTGGGCTCAATGAGGGCTGGGGAGGAGTTCAGAGAGCTTAGTTCAGTGTAATGACCCTTCAGGTTTTTACAGGACTTCCCGCAGAGTGTTCACATATCTCCTCTCACTTGACCCTTCTAACAATCCTGTAAAGTTGGCAGGATCCAGGGATTCTGTTCATTTGGCCAATTGATGCTTGCCCTAACTTACTCGGGTACCAAGTGGTGGAGCTGGCGTTGGAATCCAGGTCTCCTGCAGCTCCTAACTATCATCATCCCACCACAGACCAGCACTTCCTCAGAGGTTTAGAGTAGGGGACAATTACAACACTAAAAGCAAATTTAGACAAATACAATAAATATGTCCAGCTGATAGTTTTAAATCCATTTTTGGCCTACAGACAATGCAACCTCAGGTGGATCAACCTAATGAATGTTCATTGATCATATTCTATTTTGTTCCACAAAGAAACTAAAGCAATTTATAAAGATTCAGAAGATGTTAGGCTTATGTATAGTAGTATCTGAGAAAGTGGAGGAGAAACGAGATGACAGCTATAACCAGAAATAAACCAAATACAAATTATGCATATTATAAAGTCCTAGAAACTTGCTCTGGGGCATTATGTGCAATAAAACATATATTCAAGCTTTTTTGTGGGAAGAGAAAATGAAGAACTGTGAAGATATTTGAAAACGTTTATAGAAGCTTTTCTTTTACATAACACAATCCCTCAAACCTCTGCAAGGCCAGGCACAGTGACATACACCTGTAATCCTAGCTGCTCTGGAGATTGTAAGATTGAAGCCAGACTGGGAAACTTAGTGAGCATCTGTCTCAAAATAAAATCTAAAAAGGATGGGGATGTAGCTCAGTGGAAGAGATCCCTGAAGTTGAATACCTTAAAGAGGGTCTCCTATTTATTGGCTAGAGGAAAAGAAAGCAATTCACATTGAAAAGAGTTGACACATCTCAAGGATTTTGAAATCCCATCCACTTTGGCTGCTCTAGACACTATGTTCTTATCTTAAAAACTTAGCAATGCCAAAGTGGTTCTTTGTCATGTGTTTCAGAAATGGGTAGTTTGCCTGGCTCTTTCCTTATTATATACCCCCCATCCCCTACACTTCCACCTCTCAGGGATGCTTTCTGTTTTACCTCCCCTGCACTATAATGGCAGCTAACATACCTTCCAATGACAGGGAAAATATCACCAATATCCAAAAATTAAACAGATATCTTCTCTAATAGAGACAGTAGGTAGATGTAGACTTTGTCACAAATCCTTTGATTACTTTATTGTTAATAAAATTATGGAAGTTTTACATATTTTCAGCTGAGAGGAGCCAGCTTGTTTGATCTTCATGAGTTTAGAAATAAGAAATAAAAAGACTGCAGCTGAGTTTTTAAAATACCTTTGAATCCAAGGCCTTTCACCCCTATGTCATCTCATATCCTTGCTTGAATACTGTAGAGCAAGACTCCAAATTAAGGCATGAGAGCTGATGTAGCCACAGCCATGTATTGTCTGACAAGCAGTGTTTTCATTGTTTTATTTGAATGTGTTACGATGATTATGCATTGTTCAGTTTGAAAAGGCCCTGCTATTTTTTCTAGTCCTATAACTGGCCTTACTCACATGTATCAATTACTTAACGTGGCCCATGTAGGGAATGTAGATTTGCATATAAAAGTAAAATACATGAAACATTAGTCATAATGTTGTGGCTTTGTCCCTCCTGTCACTTCCTACCTGTTACCTCTTCAGAGTTGGTAGAAGGTGCAAATAAAGCTAATGGATATAGACAACTATTTTGTAAACTTTAACATATAGTGTGTGCAAAAAACTATAATAAACTAACAGCAAAGATGCAATGCCATTCATGTTATTGTCACACTAACAGCTGATTTCCAGTTCAATTTTCACATTTGGTGCAGTGGCAGACCTCTGGCAGAGTTTTGTTTGCTTTAGTTTTCTATAGAAATGGGGTTGAACCCAGGAAGCATTCTACCACTGGGCTACATCTCCAGTCCTTTTTAATCTTTATTCTGATACAGTCTTACTAAGTTGCTCCAGCTGACCTCAAACTTGTGATCCTCTTGCCTCAGCCCCCAGGTAGCTGTGATTACAGGGGTGTGCCTCTAGGGCCTGAGCATTAGGTGTTATAACATCTATTCTTTTTGATACGTAATAGGAGACGATCTCAGGTTAAGGAAATTAGATTTGGGTTGACTTTCACATCTAATGGGTCACTGTTAAATTCTACCTTGAAACCATCTCTCCAGCTTGGCTCTTCCTCAGCTCCCTACTTAGTAGCTATGGCCCTCTTTGTCTCCCACAGGCTCTTAGATGGCCTTCCAGCCACCCTGTACATCTCCCACACTGTGGAAAATGATCATGTATCCCTTTTCCTTAGCCCTTTATTGGCTCCCCATTTCCATGTAATGAATGTCAGCATGCAAAGCCAGGCTAGGAAGAGCTGTGATCCTGACTTCTGTGGACCTTCCACGTTTACTGGTCCCACCAGGGCACCTGCTCTGCTTGCCACTAACCCCCATCATCTATGATGTTCTGAAAACTCAGCCTTGGGCCACGTTTGCCTTTGAACCTCTAGTTCCCCAAATGTAACAGTTTTCTCCTCCAACTTAGCAAACTTCCACTCCTTTTTTAAAAAAAGAGCGAGCACATTGTCTTAGGAATCCTTTCCCAGTCAGCACCCCTAGTTCCTCATGCACCCGAGTCTCCCTGCTGCATGTCGTCTTCCACCAGGAACTTACTGCACAGAACCCCAGTTATTTCATGTAGAGGCTAAGAACATGGACTTTGGAGTGCAACTGCCTAGGTTTGAATTACAGCTCTACAACATACTGGCTGGGTGATTTTTTGGGTAAGTGATTGGGTAAATGACTTTCCCTCCCCAGTTTCATTTCTAGTAAAATGGGGACAACTATAGTATGCACCTTACGACATTGTTGTATTAAATGAGAATAAATACAGAGTGTTCAGTACATTTCTTGGCACATGGTAAGCACAGAATAAATATTGTTCCTAAAGTGCACATCTGCCTCCCCTCTAGACTGTAAATGCCTTGGCATTTATTCCTTCATTTTCTACATCTTTTTATCTGAATACCTAACAGAGTAGACAGTTAATATATGTTTGATGGTGATTGAATGCGCATTCATGTAATGCTGGTGCTTTAGTCAGGGTTTACTGGATTACATAAGTAAGAGAAATTGCTTCACGCTATCAGAAACAAACATGGGAATTCATTGGAAGTTTTTCCAAGTGTTCATGGACTCTGAAGGCAGCTAAGCTCAGAAGAGGGGGCTTTCTCAGTATGTTGCTCCTCTCTCCTCTGCACATGTGGCTAGCCCCCAAACACAGTTTTACTCTAGAGCTCCCACTACTTCAGTTCCTACTATTAGCTCTGGAAAACTAGAGTTTCTAGTCTCAATTTCAAATTCCACCCAGAGTTGGGTCAGCCATGCACACAGGGTGAGTTAGATAGTATAAAGTCGGCTGCTGGAACGTATGTGCTCTGTGGGGGATTTGGTCACTGTGAGGTGGAAGAAACACCAAGAGTCACCTGCTGATTTCTGGATCACCACAGCAAGCCACTTCTTCATGTTTGGTTTCAGTTTGTCCATCTTTGAAATGGGGAGAAATCTTCTTGAAAGGGATTTTTATGGCTCAGTGAATCAGTTGGCATCAATCTGAGGCAAAAACAACCATATGAGCACTTTATTGGGTCATAAAACTCTGGGAAGTAGGAATGAAAAGAATAAAAAGTGTAGCAAGAAAGTAGGAAGTGCAGACTTACAGAGCTGGCCAGGACTTCAGGACCAGGCCACAGTGGCTTGGTCTTGTGGAAGGTGCACAAAATATAGCAAAGAAAGAAGGATTTATCAAGCATCTCTTCCCCACTCTCCACCTCCCATTGGTGAACCTCTGCTGGACAAAGTGTTAACTCCCTGCACTCTGGGATCCCTGCATTCTGTCCTCTCCATGCAGCTTTTGGAAGAGCCAGGCCAGGCTGATGGAAGCTGAGTGTGGGCCTATGCTGCCTGCAATAGTGATCAAACCCTAGGGCTGTGGATAGGTTTCGCCTTTGCTAAGCCCACTTGCGAAGAAAACAAGGCAAGAAGCTAAAACACAGAGAGAGGGAAATAGATGAGGATATGCAAGTCAGGGATGCTGCATACATTTATGTAATTTGTAAGGCTACTGTCAACCTGCTGGGTACATTGAATCCTTTCAAAATCAATGCTCTTGAAATGAAAAGTGGAAGCTAAATGCAGCAGCATTCCTACTGGTAATATTAGCCCAACATGATTTATCTGGGCTGCAAGAGAGAGGTCAGGGCCTGACTCTGTCCCCTGCTCTTGTGTTGTCATTGTTTAAGGGATTTCAGTTGACTGGCCCAGTGAGAAAATGGTAACAGAAAACCTGTGAAACAGATCCCCGGGCATGCAGAAGGGCATGCTTGTGTATGCGCCCAACATTCCCGGCCATAGAGAAGAGCTAAGATGTCCTGTCCTTACTCTGCACCTTCCTTAGGTGCTGGGGGGATGATTAGGGACAGATTAGGGACAAAGATGCTGATTCTAAGTGAAAAGCTAGAATCAGTCTCCTAGAGGTATCATCTTCTTTCTCTCTTCTTCATTTCCTTCCTCCCTCTACTCTGAGGTAAAGAGAAGTGTGCAATGTGCACCCCACACAGCATAAAAGGGAATCCAATTATCTGTCTCTAATCCTTCCCACATTCCTTCTGCTTTCCTCTTCCTCCTTTTTTCCATCATTTTCTTTATTCTACTTTCCAATTATTAAGGGAGAAAAGACCTATCTTTGTAGGTCAGAGTTCCTTGGAGGTGCCAACTCAGATGATTAACAAGATTAGTTCTCCGATGGAGAAGTTGCAAAGTATTAAAGCTCACAGGGATGCGACACAGGTCTTCCCCCATTTTTGCCTTTTGTGAATAGTGCTGCCTATGTCTTCTGGTATACCTGTTTATTAGTGATCAGTTGCTGTGAAATCCCCACACAAACACATACATATACCATGAGTGGTTTAAAACAAGAGCTGTTTGTTTCCTCCTATTCCTGCAATTCAGGGCAGGTTCTGGGTATTTCTACTGATGGCCTCACCTGGCTCACTCAGCTGAAGTCATGCAGGGGCTGGTCAGGGCTGTACAGTCTGAGACTGTCTCCCCACATACTGACAGCAAGCTGGACTCGGGGACAGCCCATGCTTCCTGACACTGCAGCAGAATGCCAAGGGAGCAAGCTGGAAGTTGCAAGGCCCTCCAAAGGTTTGCCCCAAAAGTCACACAAAATTACTTTTGCCTAATTATACTGATCAAAGCAAGTCACAGGACCAACTCATCACATACACATCCTGGCGTGGGAGACTTTGTGGCCATGTTTTACAATCAACTACAGGTACAAAGCTGAGAGTGAAATTACTGCACCTTTGGTTCAGTTTAGGTCCAATTCACACTTACAGGAGGTTTCTGCTGCCTCCCAACTTCATATCTTTAATACTGTCATTCCGTCTAATTCTAGCCATCCTGGTGAGAATGTAGTGGCTTCTTGTTTTACCTTAGTTTAGTTTTCCTTGAGTAGTAATGAGGCCAAATACCTTTTTATGTGCCTGCTGGTCATTTGTGTATCCTCTTTTGAAGGAAGTGATTTTAGGTGTTCTTTATATAGTCTAGATATGAGTCACTGTAATTTTACACAATCTCCCATTGGATCTTGAGTGATTTTTCTCTTAATTACAAAGGAAGTAACATTTACACTGCAGTTTGAAGGATGATGAATAATTAAAGAAGAGAAGAAAGACCTTATAATTAGAAACCTGAGCAGTGCCAAGAGGGAGGGAAGTGGTGCCTTTGAGAAATAATAAGATTGGTTTCAAGGTGGGCAGAGTGTGAGGCCTGGAGATGCAGGAGATGATGTTGGAGAGGTGAGGCCAGGCATGCAGGTTGATTGGAAAGAAGCACATTTCCAATGGAATTCTCTTTCCTTAGTCCTTGGAGGTCCTGTTTCAGATCTCCAGAGCTTGGAGCCTGGGAAGCTTATGGATGCATAAGATTTGAAACTTAACAATTCTAGCTAGGACCACTGAGAAGTGAAAAGTATTACAATGAGAGAAGTTAAGTATTTTATACTATCTCATGAAATCCTTACAATGATTCTATGAGGTAAGCAACTACCAACCAACCCAACACATACATACACACACACACACACACACACACACACACACACACATACACACTCAGATGAGGAGACTCAGGTGTTGGATGACTTAGCCAAGGCAACATAGCTTGGGAACACGCTGAGCTCTGACTGTACCAGGCCCTGAAGTGATCATGCTGACAGACAGGTGAGAGGATGCATAACCTTTCCCCCTTCTTCCCTTGCTAGGTCTCATCGCCTCTCTGGCTCAGAGACTTTCTGCTGCAGCCAGCATGATGGACAATGAAGCTGAATTAAGGACTGATGGAAACTCCCTGCTGAAGGCTGTGTGGCTGGGGCGGCTCCGGCTGACCAGGCTGCTGCTAGAAGGTGGTGCTTACATCAATGAGAGCAATGACAAAGGTGAAACTGCACTCATGGTGGCATGTATCACGAAACATGTGGACCAGCAGAGCATCAGCAAGTCCAAGATGGTAAAGTACTTGCTGGATAACAGGGCAGACCCCAACATACAGGATAAGTCTGGAAAGACTGCACTTATCCACGCCTGCATCAGGAGAGCTGGGGGAGACGTGGTCTCCCTGTTGCTGGAGAATGGAGCAGACCCTAGCCTTGAGGATCGCACTGGAGCTTCAGCTCTGGTTTATGCAATAAATGCAGATGACAAGGACGCCTTGAAACATCTCCTCAATGCATGCAAAGCCAAAGGGAAGGAAGTGATTATCATAACAACAGATAAGTCATCTTCAGGTACCAAAACCACCAAACAGTATCTCAACATCCCTCCTTCACCCAAAGTGGATGAGAGACAGTCGCCTCCCCTGTGTGCCTCCCCCTCTGACATTGAGCTGAAGGCTCCACCCAGTGAGAAGGCAGATGACTTCTTCAGCCTCCAGACTGGACACTTAAGTGGCAGTAACATCACAAAGGTCCTTGCAGAGCCTGGATCACCCAACAGAAAAATTGGTAACCTCAGGAGGGCCCGTTTGCCCCAACTGAAGAGGCTGCAGTCTGAGCCCTGGGGCCTGATTGCGCCCTCCGTGCTGGCTGCCTCCAAGCATCAAGATGAAATCCAGGGTTCCAGCACAGACAGTGAGGTCATAAAGAACCTCAGTGATGTGTGCTTTCCTAAGAGGGGGCCCCTGTCCAGAACCAACAGCATCGATGGCAAAGACCCTGCCCTCTTCCCTGCTGTCACAGAGCAGCAGATTCTAAAGGCTGCAGCACCCTCAGCACCAGCCTCTTGGAAAGGCCCCGCTCCCCATCTTCGCCTGGCCTGGAGAGGAACCCTCCCTGTTGACCAAGAAAGGAGTGGTGCCAATGTATCAGGACCCTCCTCTCTCAAAGATCCAGCATCCCTCAAATGGCTGGAAAACAATCTCTATGACCTAGACTTACAGCCAGGCCCTGACCCAGCCAACTCTACTCCCATTGAGTCAGGCAAAGGCCCCTCTGATAGAAAGAAGCTCAATGGCTCCCTCATGTCCCTCTTCCAGGGCTCCCAGGAGTCTCTGGAGGCCATGCCCAGTACTTCCCCCAGCTCAGTGCATCGCCCGCCACACCTTCTAGAGAGACGAGGTTCTGGAACTCTGCTCCTAGACCACATTGCTCACACTAGGCCTGGCTTCCTTCCACCTTTAAATGTGAATCTGAACCCACCAATCCCAGATATTAGACCTGGTGGCAAACCATCTTCCCCACTCGCTAGTGGCTTAAAACCTATGATTCCCATTGCTCCAAGCTCACCAAAGAGAGTTGACTTGAGAAGTACAAAGAAGCTTCTCCGAAGGCATTCCATGCAAGTTGAGCAGATGAAGCAGCTGTCTGGCTTTGAAGAAATCAAGACCTAGCACCTTTTAGAATGGCTTTCCTCTCTAAGTGTGTGTAGTTCATTGAAGGGACCAAAAATCCAGACCTACACAGCCATGCAGAGTCTCTGCATCCTGATCATTCCCTAAGGTTGGTGTGGCCACATCTGAGGACATGGAGATAGGGTGCTGCCTCGCTTCTGAAATAAACAGGGATTATTTCAGAGAATTTACTGCTGAAATAATTCCTGGGATTTTATAGGCCTACTTGAAAAGAGCTCAGGAAAATTAGGTTTTAGAGATAAAATTACAAGAAAAAAGTTTTCCGAAGGAAGAAAACCTTTGCAGTGTGGAGGTCACACAGCAAGCGCAGTGTCTGAAGTTGTGGACACCAGTTATTTTCTGTAAGACAAACAGAAAACACACATTTAGATCACAAGATGTCATTTGAAGGATGTCATCGGTTATCTGTGAAGTGCCTAAAAAGAAAATATGGCTTTGACATTCTTTGGAATGTGCAAAACCTCAAAACCAACCCCTAAGCTACTATATCTGGTTTCATCAAATGCAGTAGAAGCAGACTTCTCCCAACAGAGAGGGCCTGGCCTGTGGCACTTGCCTCATGTTATGTTGTAGGCATCGCCAAGCATGGCCGAGCTCCTTCAGCTCTCCAGAAACAGGCTTTGTGGGTGTGCACAATGTCCTACACATCCCTCCACATGCCCCTTTCTGATATGTCATCCACTGGAGCTGCAGGGAGGAGTCCTGATCAGGAAGGAAGCTTTCCCTAGTCCCTGGCCCCAACATAGGCCCTGGGTGGAAATCTTGTGGAAAACAAATTTACTAATGTGGATGTGAACATGATATAATCCATAGAACAAAAATGCCTTTCCCAATTATTCTTGAGAGAACATGAAGAGATCCACCAGAGCAACGGGCAGTGAAAGGCTCTGCACCAATGCTTCTCAGGCTGGAAGTGTGGCCTGAAGATGTTAGCGGTTGCAAACTGTAATTTGCCTTCCAGTGATCTGGGTGATTCAAGAAACATCTGGATCCTTCTTTGCCTGTGTTATCTGGAGATAGGAGACGTATAGAAACAATCTGTGTAATCCTTTTAAATACTCTGAAGAAACTCAAAGAAGGAAACATGTTTAGCACATTTGCTGCTACACTTTAGATGAAAATATTCTTGTTTTCGTCCCATGTATTTCTCCTCTCATGCAGCCCACGTGTACTTGTTCCATGGATGAAAAGTTCACCTGTCCCTAGAGGTGGAATCATGCAGATAGAAGAGCAATTCTTTGAGTCTGACAGCCTTGGGTTTGCACCCTGGCCTCATCATTTACTACAGTGTGACCCTAAGAAAGTAGCTCAGCATCTTGATTTCCCTCTTCTGTAAAATGGGATCAGTAATGTTTGCTTTGCAAGGTTATGGTGAGAATGAAGTGACACAGTGCATTAAAGTGATTTTGTGCCTGGCACAGGTAGACATCATGAGATAAAAGGTAGCTAATTTAAATATATTTCTTGAAACTTCCGAAGCCTCAAAATCTCAATTCTTAAATGATATACACAATGGAGTAAAGTCTAACTGAAAGATGCTTGTCTCCTTGAGAGTCCCACAAGTTCTATAAACTCTGATTCCTAAATTCATTTGTAGAGTAAGACATTCTGCCAGAAATAGATCTAAATAACGCCAACAAAAATCTTAATGATAGTCATAAAGTGCTTATTTTTGTGATTCCATTAGGGCAAGCTCTTAACCTCAGTACCATTGACAGTTGAGGCTGGATGATTTTTTTCTGGGGTGAGGATATCTGCCCTGTGTATTGTAGGATATTTATCAGCTCACAAGATGGCAACAGCACCTTGCTCCTCAGTGTGACAACCAAAATGTCCCCAGACCTGACCAGGTGTCTCCTGAGTGCAACATTGCCTTGGCTGGTCACTGTGCTTTAGCAAACAGCTGTGTCAGTAGTAGAAATGTGCCAAGAACCACAGAGCCAACTGGACGTGTGGCCTTCAGGACTCTTGGCAAGCAGACACAACACAAGCACTAAAGGTCTCTGTGCCTTGCAGGATAGGCAAAAAATGAGAAGAAAAGCATATAAGGTGGTGAAAATGTACAGCTCAAGAATTTGGCTCAGTGTGGATGCTCATATGGTTTTCAGAACCACTCAGTTGTTACCAGATCTTACCATGTAGGCCCAATTATAGGTAAAGAAACAGCTTCCATCATTAAAGAGAGAATTGTACAACTATTGGTTTCAGCAGCTCATCACACACGCGCACACACACACACACACACACACGGCACATTTTAAGTATTTTTTCAGTTATTGTCAGTGCCAATTAAAACTACCTGGCTGTGGGGACAGCAAGACCTAGCATAGGAGCATTTTGTGTACAAACTTGGAAGGCTGATTTATCTGCAGTAGAGCTTGGTGGATTTGTAGTGATTAGCTCAGGCAAAGCACCAGGTGTGGGGAGCAGCCCTGTCAGGGTGGCTGGCCCATCAAATAGAAGCAAAGTCAAAGTCAGGAACTCTCTGGCCACTCCCTGCCTACATCTCAGCATGACCTTCCCACAGGCCTTTCTCTGGCAGGTGCCGGGACAGCCCCCCCCTCCCCCGCCACCATCACCTCTTGAGGATGCATTAGCTGAATTAGACTTGTTCTACATTAGTACAATGGCCAAAATACCTTGTCATGGTTTATGCATAAATAAGCAGTTTTGTCCACATCAGTGAACCTCACAGAATGCTTTTCAAAAGCATATTTTAGATTTGAACATGCTTTCTAGATCAGAGGTTAGCTTTTCGTTTTGGAATCCTAGAGTCACTGTGTAAGTTAGCTTCAAACTGTAGTTCCAATGATCTATCCACTTAAGATTTTTTAGACTGTTCATTAAAATTTAATCCAGAATATGAGCCTAATGTTTAAAGTCTGGTACTTTGATTTAACTTCTAGACATTCCAAAGCCTTTAAAAAACCCACCAACCCTTGTAGATTCTCTTGGAACTTCATGCAGTGGCCAGCCTGTGCACATGGTGGGTCCTGGACCTCCTCCTTATGTGTTGGTACTTTGGCCCCATGTGCCCCATGCTGCTGGTCGGCCCTCTGCAGTGCCCCATCCGTCTTAAGCTGAAGATGTGCTCAAAGATGTGTCAGAATCCATGTAATGAAACTAATACTTCAATAAAAGATCTATTACAAACCTTCAGTAGTAGTTCTCATTTTCTTCAGTGAAATTTCAAGGATAAAATTTATCTTTTCTTTAAGATGGCATTGATATGATTGACTAGTGACATGAACCTTAGAAAGCACTCAATTTTTATAATTAATTTTTTAAAATTAACATTAAACTATATAAATATAATGGCTCCTCTCTTGGTAAACAAGTACAGTGAATGAGACAGGGTCAGGGTTTCCACCACACTGATGCTGCCCCCGGGCTGCGCCTAGCAACAGGACAGACCCACAGCCCCCGAACATCCCTCTGAGGCACCTCTGTATGGTGACCAGTGTGGACTTGGTTGACCTCATTCTTCTCACTCGAGAACAGAGCAGCAAGAGCAGGAATGGGCTGGAAGGTCTCCCTGGTGTCTTAAACTCCAGCATCTTGTGATTCTCTGGAAAAACTACCTTTAAGTTTTCCTCTAGATTACTGAAATTAACTTGACTAATAGAAGAAAAAAGGAGTAATTTTAACATGTCTTTTCCCACCTCTGCCATCAGGAAAGGGAGGCCAATATTGTTTCTCAGTCCTTCGAGGAGAGATGATGAGGGAAGAGGAGAAGATGGTGAGGAAGTGGAAGAGGGATGAAGTACAGGCCACAGTGGCTGGTGCTAGAGGAGAAGATGCATTCTTATGGCTGATAGAAGGCTTAGAAGTCTGTGATCCTTTGATGGAACTTGCCCCTTTCCAGAGAAGTCTTAGAGAGAACTGGCTATGTGGTATGTCTTGGGAGGCTAGGCCTGGCCATGGTGGACAAGAAGGCACAGGGCATGAAGAAGCTGCGGGATTGACAATGAACACACCAGCATGGTTACCAGAGAGTGTGGAGATCAAGGCAGCCTAACCACTGTGACTGTAGACCTCCACGGAGTACAGGAGGGAGAGCTCCACAAGGACCCAGGAGGACTTTGTTAAAGGGGGACCAGTGCCAATTTTAGTGGATTTAGACAAGTAATATGGCACTGCATACATCCAAAAGTAATGCAGAGAAATTTGCAGCATTCCATGTCCAAGTAACAAAACAAGATGTGCATGTAGAAAGTGCAAGATCTGAGTCTCAGTTCCATTTGTCTGGTGAAGGGTGTTCAAAGAAGGACAGGATCTCAGGAGGTAAGTGCTTTAGGGCAGTCATGACATCCAGTTGAGTCACCACAATGAGAAAAGTCAGGATTCTCACAGGGGTTCCTTGGTGGAAGGTGATTTTGCAGTTCACTTTCAGCAGATGGGGTGTGGAAGGGTATTTTGAAATCATGGAATTCAGATCTAATGGTGCTTATCAGAGAGAAGAGTGAACTTATGAGCAAGGCATGGAAGGAAGTGAAAGAGAGGAGAAAGAAAGATAAAGGTCTGAGGAGTCAAGGATCTGCCAGTGGGAACCAACTCAAGTGAACAACCTGGTGAAGATGGCCTGGACCTGTCCTCTGGGTCCTCAGCCTCCTCCAGGCACCTCTGATCTAGGACAGAGAGGAAGAAGCAAGGATCTAAAGTAAAGTTTTAATTATCCCATGCAATTTAGTAAGCATTTAATCCATTCTTTGCTGCAGTGGTATCTAGTTGGTTGCTCACACAGTTAAGTTCCTTCTTTCTCCTCCCATCTGATCCTTACTTTGTGGGTGCAGCTACCCCATATCCTTGCAGGCCTTTGGATGAAGAGAAGCTGAGCCCAGCCCCTGCTCAGAGCAAAGTCCTGATTGGTCTGCATTGATATGGCAATCTCATTCTTCTCATAGTGATTGGTTAAGGGATCCAATATAAGCCACACTTGGCATTCTCCCTACAGCACCTTAGAACCAGACATGGAGTCTTTTCTTTCATAATTCCGGAGTCTGTTTCTATCCCAAACCTCCAGCCCCATCTCATTACATTCCATTTTATCACATTACCTTCTGCTGATGTATTTCTTTTTCAGAACCAGTATCACAGCACAATATTTCAACTCTTCTAGAGTCTTAAATCACTTTTACAAATTACGGGATGAGCCCGCTTTCAATTCTACTTGATGGACAAATTATTCCTTTGAATCATATCAAGAAATGTTCAAATTTTACTGGGATTATTCTTGAGATCCTATATTACTTAGTTATTTTGATATTAACAGTTTTTAAGATTAGATCTTCCAATACAGAAACATGGATTATTTCTCTAAAAATTCAAATATTCATTATCTTTGTTCCTCATTCAAATGTTTGGTCCTCTTCATACAGATATTATACATTTCTTGTTTTTATTCCATTAGTAGATATTTTATTTTTTTGTTGAAATTGTGAACATGATATTCTTCCCTAGACCATCAGATATTTATGTAGCAAAAGCTATGTTTTCTTTAATGTGATTACAATGAAAATACCCACAGGATTTTTCATTAAAATGACAAAATGATTCCATAATTCATATGGAATAGAAAGGACTGAAAATACCTAAGACAGTTTTAAAGAATAATAAAAAGAGAGATCATGGTTCAAGATGACAAGATTTAAAAAGTGATAACAATTGAACCAGTTTGATAAAATGCAGTACTGGGGCAGCTGACCCAGAAAAACAGACAAGAACAGAACAGAAGACTAGAACCTCCCATCAGTGGAAAGTTTATGTGTGATGAAGGTGGAACTGCAGATCAATAGATGATGCTGGGACTATTTGTTTTCTATATGAAATAAAGACAATATAGGATCTTGATTTCATGGCATACAGCTAAAAACATGAACGAAATGCAAGACAAATTTTGACTGTAATTTTTGTATTTGTACCTATAAAGGAAATTGCTTCATAGTTTTCCTTTTTTATATTTGTTTTATATACACAGCTATAGTTTGGGTCTCAAGTAACCTGGAAAGGCCCATGTGTTGAGGGTTTGGTCCCAGCATGCAGAACTGTTGGGAGGTGATGGGGTGGAATGAGAAGAACGTGGGTCACTAGGGACTTGTCCTTGAAGGGGACAATGAGACTCTGTCCATTGCTCTGCTTCCTGGCTGCCATGAGGTGAGCAGTTCTGCACCACCACATGGTCCCTACCAAGATCCTGTGTCTCATTACAGGCGGAGGAGCAATGGAGCCAATCAACCATGGGCTTACATCTCTTAAAATCACCAGCCAAAAGAAATCTTTCCTCTTTTTCTGTCAATTGTCTCAGGTATTTTGTCACAGTAATGTAAAGCTATTAAAACAGTTTGGCTTTGATAAAAAGTTCAGCTTAGTCTCCTAGAATAATCTGGGGCATGTTCTCTCATTTTATATTCTCTGGAAAAGTTTAAATTTGGGTAGAAATATTCCTTGATTGTGTGCTCACAAATTTTTCTTATATGTCAATCTTGCTAGTAAAGCTGTCAGGATTACGTGTGTGTGTGCATATATACATGCATGTGCAAAGGGGTGCACCTCTGTCTTTGCCCACAAGTAAGAAAAGGTGCAGGATTCAGTGACTTGCCCAAGTCCACACTGCTGGATCCATTAGACAATCATTAGCCAGGTGATAATGAAGGTTTTCATCACCACCAAAAATTCGTTCACACTCTGTAATCTTCCCCTCCAGTTTCCAGCAACTACTGATTTGCTTCCCATTACTACATGTTAATTTGCATTCCCTGGAGTATTATAGAACTGGAATTATATAGGTACGCTTTTGTGTCTAGCTCTTTCACTCTCCACAAATAGCTAGAGATTCACCCAAGTAATTTCTCGTACTAGCATTTCATTCCTTTTCATTTCTGAATGCATTCTATTGTATGGAAATGTCATAGTCTGTTTATCCATGCACCCTTGGAAGGATGGATGGGTTGTTTCCAGTTTGGAACTATTATAAGCAAAGCTGCTACAAACTCTTCTGTGTAAGTTTTTGTATAGACATACATTTTCTTTTCTCTTTGGTAAATACTTAGGAGTCAGGTGACTAAATCGTAAATATGTATATAAATTTTTAGAAACTATGCAACTGTTTCCCAATGTTCCTACCAGCAGTGTATGAGAGTCATGGTTCCTTCACATGTCCACTAATGCTTGTATGGTCAGTCATTTTAAGTTTAGCTACTCTTCTGTGGTTTTAATTTTTTTTTGCATGTTGTGTTAATTTTAATGATAAAAAGGACACATGAATGGAAACCTGATATTTCACTTATATTGTATAACAAGCTAACCAAACTGGACATGGAAGATAAATTATAAAACAAATCACTTTACTTATTGTTTCTATGACTTTTTAAAATCAACTTTCTGTCTCTCAAATAAGGCTGAGGTATAGTACACTGGCAAAAATAATAAGAGGCAAACAAGAATAGCGCCAAAGTAACAGATACCCAAAACCAAATACCATGTAAAAAAAATCATAGAGTAACCATTTTTCAGAATAGAGCAGCAGGAAAAAGTTATTTCTAAATCATAATCATTTTAGTGGTCTTTGTTAACTTCGCCACATTAACTTTGCACCATTATTCTTCATTTGTAAAATTCATGTCAAAAAAGGAAAGGGGCTCGGGGAAGTCAGTTAGTTCATTCCAATAAATTACCTCTCCAGTTCTCATACACACGCCCATCAGCACAAAATTGAGAAATAATACCTAAGACTAGGAGGTTTTGTTTAAGTTATGAAGCAAATTAAAATGGAAAAATACAAGAAAATAAAACCAATGGGCTTGAAAAAGCCTCTCAATGAAAAATCTGTACTGAAAAAATAAAATTAATAAAAATAAAAATAGAAACAAAACTCTACTAGTACAAACTAGCCTGAGTGGTTTGACGGACAGAGTGATTGGGTCAACTGTCATTGTACTTCCATAAATGGACTTTCTTCATTCATGTTAAAGCAGCCATGAGCACAAGGACCTGAGTTCGATCCCCGGTACCAAAAAAAAAAAAAAAAAGCAGCACATGAATGTAAGCTATTAAGGACAGGTACTATATTTTTATAGGACCCAAATAGTTACTGTGTATTCTATAAATAAAAAATATTTTACTTTGATAACTGACTGAATATGTGGGAGA